GGCCGCAGTCCATGGTATCTTGCCGTAGTAAGGAACAGGAATACCAGGACGAGTAGAGCTGAGAGTAGAATTATTGAACATCGTGTTTATACCGTTCGCCCTGCTAGTGATGTTTGAGAATGAAGTAAGTTTAGCATAAAAGTGAACTTTATAGTTGACAAAATGTGTTTGAAAATAACGAAATTAGCAATGAATGACATCTTAAATACCCTGGGGAGTTCTACTGATTAAAAACATTCACGACTAGTTTTGTATATTTTATATATTTAACCGTAATCGTATGAGGAAGTGGCTGATCCCATTAAAGAGTGCTCAATACACATAAAGTGTAGAGCTAGTTATATATATGATATCAAAGAGGCAAGATTTTGCTGTGACTCCGAGTTTCGTGCTACGCACTCATCAGACAGTATCATCAGACAGTATTTAAATACTGTCTGATGAGTGCGTAGCACGAAACTCGGAGTCACAGCAAAATCTTGCCTCTTTGATATCATATATTTTATATATTTATATATGTTAGCGATTAAAATTTATTCAAAAAGAGCAAATAAAATAAATAGTATATCAAAGAGTACAAATAAAATTCTCTCTCAAACGGAGTGTGAAAACACTAAAACCACGGAAATTTTTTAATTAAAATAATTCATAGTGCTGAATTGTACTGAATTTTGTGAATTCCTTTTTATTTTTTTTTTGTAGAATCTACACTATATTGCGATATTTAGCGCTATTTGCTAAGTACTTTTTCACGCTTTTGGAATGGAGTCATTAGAGTGAAGTCAAAAAAACCCGTGAATTAGATATTACACTAATACACCTTGGTACGCTCTAATTGCATTGTTTTCTTTTGTGTCTATTTGAATATCACACTAAAATACTCAAATTTTGTTTTTTAATACTCAAATTTTTTTTGTTTTTTTGTTTTTTAACATAACTTCACTCTAAACCCGTGAAACAAAAACATGATATTAAAGTGTGATAGTCAAATAGACACAAAAGAAAACAATGCAATTAGAGCGTACTAAGGTGTATTAGTGTAATATATATTTCACGGGTTTTTTTGACTTCATTCTAATGGCTCCAGTCCAAAAGCGTGAAACAGTACTTAGCAAATAGCGCTAAATATCGAAATATAGTGTACATTCGACAATAAAAAATAAAAAGGAATTCACAAAATTCAGTACAATTCAGCACTATTAATGATTTTRATTAAAAATTATAAATTGCTACGGTGTATTAGTGTAATGTCTATTTCACGGGTTTACAAAACAAACCAATTGCTGTTGAAGCGAATAAAGCTTTATTATCAAATTAAGTGCACCCCTATAGAATATCACAGTGAAAATTATTACTAAAACTATTCAGACTAATTGTACAATTACTGGTTACTTGTGGTCTGTCTTCTTGATCGTGTTCTTTGCGCTACAGATGTATTTTGACTTGTCGCTTTAGGTTTTGCTCTAGAAGAAGCGTTTTGTTTATTTTTATCCTGGAATAATAAAACATCAATAAGTGAACTATTGTACGCCGAAACCTCGCGTATCAGAACCTAACCTAACCTGCTCTTTACTCCGACGAAGGATTGACGTCCGAAACGTAAGTAAGTTATTTCACATACTTTTTTTACGGTGTTAAATTTATCTTTTTACACAACTGTTTCTTTTCAATTTTTATTTCACATCCTTTTTTTACGGTGTTAAATTTATCTTTTTACACAACTGTTTCTTTAGAAACACCGACGCAGCTCACACTAGTTTACCGCTAGTTCCCACCACAGAACCTAAGTCAGCCTGAAACCGCTTTTTGTATAAAGGATTCTAAGTTAAAACATAGTTTGTAGAGGGGAATGCTTAGGAAGCCTTTTGTTGTAGGTTTTTGTGCACTTTTTTCCAAGCGTGACCGTGCACAATCTTTTGTTAAACTATTGTTTTAGCCATACTGGTCACATCTGAATGAACAGAGCGAAAATTGTTCTTTTGACTATTTCTTCAAAATGTACAAAAACTATTAACCAATATTAAAACATTTCATTTCATAATCTCATAGAGGGTGTCTATGTTCACTCATTTTGCAATTTCCATCGTCCGTAAGAAAAAAGTTCTGCACGGTCTTGACTGATCCAACCTCAAAATACATACAAAAGAAGTACAATAAAAGGTTTCAAAACCATTCCCCTCTATCAAAAACGGTTGAAATTAAATTTCTTGGTTCTAAAGTGGATTTTATTTTTAGTAAGAAGAAAGCATTTTAATTCGTGGATGTTAACAGAGTTTTACTGTAAAAATATCGCGGTTTTTTGATAATGTCCATGAATAATTCTTACCGGCGAATGAACGTTCCAACGCCTTGGCTTTGGAAGACTGCGAAAAAATAGAATTATCAGAAAATAGCATAGACTCCTTGGCACCCGATTTTTTGTGACGCGCTTCTTGTCTCTCCCCAAAGAGGAGGTAAAGGAAGCCCGGAACAAAAAACGGGTGTAAGAATCAACCCTTTTAGCGATCTCTTTTACGCTGTGTTAGCCTCAAAACCATGTAATAAATTCTTTTATTCACAACAGCCCGTGCAAATGCAAGAGATCTGCATTTTTTAATATTTTAGCACACAATTGAGGCTACCACAGCGTAAAAGAGATCGCGAAACTCAACTATATCACAAAAAAACTTGATTTCACTACGACTTGAACACAAGCCCAATGCTAAGCGCAACCATAAAAGGCAAGGTCATGTGGCAACTGACGCAAGCGAAAAAACAAGCCCTACCCAAGCACAAGACTTACTTTTGGTCCGGTGAAGGCATGCATATAACGTCCTCTTGTTTTTCCTCGCCATCATCATCCACACCCTTCTTGGATATCAAACTGGGCTGTGCATCTAATAATAAAATGCATAAAACAAAATAAACTATCTATAATGTATTGATGATTCTAACATTTTAGCCGTGTTCAAACGGCATCCTTTAGTATTTGCTCATGCTTTGAAACAAGAATACATCGCAATATTTACTTCCATGAGTAGAGATAGTGTGAGGTCATCAAACCCGTGAAACAAAACTTGACCATTAATTAACAATTAGACCACGAGGTCGAGTGGACTATGAGCTAATAGCCCATGAGGCCGAGTCCGGGAGGCCGAATGGGCTATTAGCTCGTAGTCCACGAGGCCGAGAGGTCTAATTATTT